AAGGTCACTCCTAAAGGAGCAAAGTACCACTTTCCCACAGACAACCATTAAACTAAGTGAAGTATGTCAGGCGTAAATAGACAAATACAGCATGGTTCCAGTTGTTTGAGGTTCCTAGAGGAGACATAAAGTAGACTGGCTTGGGGGGGGGGGGGGGCTGGGAGGGTAGTGGGAGGAGTCCTGGGAATGGATGGTGGTGGCAGTTACACACGGTTATAAAAGCATCTAATGCTACTGAACTGTATGCGTGAAAACAGTTCAGATGGCAAACTTAGTTGTATGAATTCTGTCAGAATGAAAACGGGGAAGCACAAAAATGAGGAGGAGTCACTGAAGTATAATCATAAAGCCAGAGTCACAGGTGTCTGAGAGAGGCACTGTGGCATCCGTGACACTCCTGCAGGGTCAGAGTCCTAGTGGAGCAGGCTTAAAGGTCCCACTGATGAGGCTCTGTCTACAGATGGTAAGCGCCTAGAAGCTCCCTGAGTTCAGAGGCAGGATCTAGGATCAGCCACCAACCTTGAACACCCCACTTATTAGCAGTAATCCTGGGAACCTTCACATAAGATCAGATAAACCGTTCTCTGAGGCCTTGAAAAGACCAAAGACAAAGAATCATTTTATAGGGCAGAGGATGGAAAATACAGAATTGATTTATAATGGTGCCAGGTAAAACTCCTAAAAGAAAAAAATGTACTCTCAAAATCTACTCATCAGGAATAGCCTGATGGGTGCTTTTGGGGAAGTTAGCCTCAGGGATGCCACGGTGGCTGAGGGAAGATCACTGCAAATCTGTGTCTAATAAGCACTGCTGGAGATTTGTAAATGTGACTAAGTGGATCTTTAAAAATGGGTGACAGTGTGTGTTACCATCCCTGCATCTCCTTAGCCTTTGCTTTCAACCTTGGGACATGCTGCCTCTCTTCTTTGGGCCCCAAGGTTGGTGACTTTGGAACCAGCCTTTTGGCGTCACCTCTGTCACCCTTCTGAATACATTACAAGTACTTTTTGATAGTCAGAGAGCTCAGTGCTTAGGAAATATATAAGATTGGCCTCCCATGTTTACTGCAAAGCTCAGGCTTAAGAAGGACTTTGGGCATTGTTTAGACCAAATTGCCCATTTTGTGGAGGAGTGTAGGTCAGACAAATGTAGGAAACATGGAAAGGTGAGGAAGAAGAGAACACAGACATGAAGTGAAGGGAGACTAGGGGGTGTGGCCGGTGTAGGCGTGAGTGAAGTGCAGGGAGGATGAGTCAGACGAAGAGTCGACCATGAAACCTTTGACAGAAACAGGGAGGGCCTGAGAGGAGGAGGCAGAGGGTAAAAGAAAGCTGAATCGATCTATGTAGAACTCCAGGTGGAAAGTCCAGGCACTGGAAACTCCAGTGGAAAATCTCAGGGTGTAAAAACAGAGCTATGTCCTGGAGTCTGTCAGAGAAAGTCCAGAGTAAATCCCTAGCCAGCAAGGCCTGGACACCCATGACAGAGCCTTCTGTCCTGAACAGTTTCACTGGCCACTCAGAGGAGGCCTGAGAGACATGTGCCATGTCTACAATCCATGCAAAGCTAAAATGCCACAGATGTTAGACCCAACAGAGAAAATGGTCAAAATAGAAAGAAGAAATGAAACTCACAGGAAGCACACTAGGGATCAGTATAAAGTCCTCTGTTTATGTCCAGGAAATAATTGCAAACTACAGAATTATTAAGAATGACCATGATAAAACATCATTAATAGTTATTGTCTTTTAAACTTAGTAATTATGCTATGCCAGGATCATGGTGTCAGTCGCTTCATGGGACAATTTATTTAATTCCCACAATAGCCCTATGGTATTGGCACTATTATTATAATCTTTGCCTTTAGGTGAAGAGATTGGGGCCAGGGAAATTAAGTAAACTTGCCTAATGTCACAAAAACCTTGACTTGTCCGACCAAAATCAATACTGTCTCCTCTAACCAATAAGATAAAGATTGAGGAACCATGATATGACCAGCCTTACGGTAAAAAACTTTTTCTAGTTAGACAAATAGGTATGTGTTCACGTGTGTTATACTGAGGGAAATACACAAGCACAAATGATCAGTCTGTGGGGAAGTTGTTAAAAATATAAAACTTCATTTTCAAGTTAGCCACAGCACCCTGAAAAGAATGGCTGCCGAAGCTCTTTGGGATTGTAGACTCCCAAATGCTCACCTAGACGCACGGTGCCTGTGAGGTCCTAGGGAGGTTTGCTGTGGAAGAATTGAGAACCCAGGTCTCAGGCAAGTTTATGTTGATGTCACTACTTTATAAAACTCAAAGGGAAATCATGGCTAGAACCAAGTATGAGAACTGAAAGTCTGGAAACTTCTATTAACAAAGAGATATATGCATACATTGGTGTTCACACACACCTGGCCACCTCGACTGTCTCAGTTCTGGTACACTGAGAATCTCCCAGCGAGAATCTACCCTCAGTGGTGCCTTAGGAGCCTTCGTCCTTCATGTTCAGGACCCTTCCTTCCCAGCCCCCTCCTCCCCAGCCTCCTCCTCCCCAGGCCCCTCCCCCCTCCCCAGCCCCCGACTCTGCTTGTCCTCATCTACTTGGTTCATTCTGCTTTATTCTTTTCTTAGCCATCCCTTCTGCCCCCAGGCTCTTTCCAGACCGGGCCATACATCCCCTGGGTCATTCAGTGGAACCCCTTTCACTAACACTCCCCGTGTGGCTTGTCCTGACATTGCTGTTTACTTTGCTTTACTTGGAGCAGGTTCCTCTACAAGCTTCGAGAGGCCTGAAGAAGTCTGAATATCACTCTCATTCACATCGCTGTCTGGTGCTAAATAACTCGCTAGGCAACTGTCTGAATCGCTGTTACCAGTCAAGGAGGGCACACAAACAGCGGGGGCAAGCATTTCATCTGCCAGCTTCTCGTGTGCTCGCAGAAAACATTTTACATGGCGCTTTGGGTTGCTTTACTTCCAGTCTCAGGCCTTTGCAAATTTCCATGCTGATGGCGCACATTTCATAAAAACAGGCTGATTCTGTGCAGACAGTTTAGTAACCAGGCAGGGGCAATGCTGCTTTGCTCCAAGCAGATTCCTATAGCGTGTGATTATCTGAAGTATAATTTTGGTCTTCAAGCCTATAATATAATTACGTAATGCCCATCACCCACTCCATGATTAGACTGGACTTTGTCCAAGGGGGGAGGGGTCATAAAGAGATTAAAATTCTATTGCTCTCTTTATTTCGATTCCCATCCGGGTTCCCGAAAGAGAGTTAGGAGGCTTGGGAGGGCTTTAAGTTAGGGACCTTTGGGACTGTTCAGACCAGCCCCGGCACTGAGGCCTTGGCAGCTCTCCACCACATCTTCTGATCTCCCCCTGCTTTCTCGCTGCTGTGCCTTTAACTCTAAATGCCTGGGTTCCTTAAGTCCCCAGCACCCAGTAGCTGTCCCTCCAGCTGCCTCTATCCAACCTGTCCTGTTCTCTCTCTATCGCACAGCCACTGCCATCTCTGCATGCTTAGACCGCCCCCCCCCACTCTTACTTTTCCTGCCGGCCCCACAAGCCAGGACCGGCTTCCCAGGGCCCTCTCATCCTGTACACGCCACTATACAGCCTCTGCTGGACAGAACTTTCCTCAACAGCAGACTGTACTCATATCAGCACCATGTAACTACCTCCCCCCAGTTCTCCATCTCTTTTATCTGAGCTGCCTCTCAAGAGCCTAATTCTTGAAACATCTCCAAGCCTCTGCCACTCCGATCTTCTTCTCTACTTTGCAACAGTAAAAAACCTAGAGTGCCTGTGGGACCCTCTGATGCCCATCCATGTTAAGGACGCTCTGGCTCACCTGGTGCTGCCCGCCATTCTAGACCCTTCAGAGCACTCGGTCAGCTTCTTACCACGCCCCTCGGGGTTCGAAGACCCACAGGCTAACTGTGAAGGGCTGTCCCTCTGCCAAGTCCAGGTTCATTTCTCTTCAGCTTTGTCTCAAAATCTCCAGTTCTCCAGCTCCTAAGTATGACCCCATGAAAGGCCAAAGTTCTAACCAGCAGCTGGAATATAACACACCCCTGGACGTTTAAAAGTTCCAGCCTCTGAAGGCCATTGGCACCACTTTAGTGGGACAAAAAGATCTTCAAACTCAAAATGTGGGAAGTCATATTTTCGTGATCCCTTGACTTATGTCTTAGTTCACTGCTAGTTTATTCTTTCTTAATAAATATATGTTTTTAATTTGCTAAAACTGTTTTTAAAATTATTGTTGTTGTTATTATTTGTGTGTGTGTGTGTGTACATGTGTGGTACGTGTGCAGGCATGATGTGTCAGGGCATACGTGTTCTGGGCAGTGAGTGTGAAGTCAGAGAACAACAGTGTGGAATTGGCTCTCTCTCTCTCTCTCTCTCTCTCTCTCTCTCTCTCTCTCTCTCTCTCTCTCTCTCTCTCCTTGTATCTGGTTGTGGGGATGGAATTTAGGTTGCCGGGTCGCTAGGCTGGTACAGCAAGCACTTTAACCAATGAACCAAGTGAATGGCCCTGAAGTAGTTTTCAAAATAGATAATTGTTGTCCTGTCATGAAAGCATTGGAAAGATATACAGTTCCCCACAAGAAACTTGAGATGAGCACTCACAAGCATAAACAGACGATAACCAACAATGACCACAAATGTTCCCCATGCAGTGGTTGTAGACTCCATTTGGACAAGCCCTTCCTCGGCATTGTGCCCTATTCAGACCCAGAAAGCTGGCCATTGGTAGCATGTGGGCCACAGAATTTTCTATCTCTTGCCTTTCCAGAGCTTCACCCTTTGCCCTATCACTGGCAAAAAGCAGCCACTTTAGGTCCACTCATTCCTACACATTTCTTAAAAACCCTGTCTGCTTCCCCATAGGCATCGTGAGTCATTTCCTTGGAACTGGTGGAGTACTCTAGGGTATTGGCGCCTCCTAAAACAGTAGGGACACTAGTGGGGAAGGAACAGGGCTAAGGATCCGAAGGGAAGCTTACCTCAGCTTCTGGCTGGCGGGGACAGTTATCTTATTCAGCTTGTCCATTTTTCGTGAGAGGAGATGTGGGTCGCTCTCCAAGGGAATGTCAGCAGCTCCTGGCCTTCCTGGGGAGCTGCATGATAAGGCTTTGGGCTCAAGGACTCAAGCCTCTGGAACTAACTTCTGAGAGCAACTGCAGGCTGCTGGCAAACACCCCTGCGTAGGGGAAGTAAAACTCGCTGGAGCGCATCGTCAAGTTTCATGTTTCTACGAGATCATGTGATTCAGGGAGTCAGCCTGCTTGGCAGATTACTGTGCGTTGTGTAAACTTCAGTAGTGAAACCTTATTGGGCATGCAAATCCCTTTCCAGCAGCTCTCTTTTATGACCAGGTTTGTTGCCAGGTTGGAATAAGCTGTGGCTGGGCACTCCTTCCTGTTTGCCCCAAATCTTAGGTAGTCCCTGTTTTCAGCAAATGGCCAGTGTCACCTGCAACTTGCCAGGTACAAGGAAAAGCAGTCAGTTACATCTGGGTGACTCTTGGGGGCTTTCTGCTCATTTGCATAAGCCATGGATTAGCCTGTTTTGCTCAGAGAGCTAAGATATGAAGAAGACTGTTCATCATGCTCCTTCCTCATACATCTGGGTGGCAAGGTCATGGCAGTGCTCATTTACTCAGAGATGTGGGGGTCTCTTCTTCTCAAGATGCATTTAAAATGGGACGGGCAATTTCTTGTGAAGGTAGTGTCACTTAGGGGTAGAGATAGGCGATTCCAAGAAGGAGAAGTGATCTCCATTATACACTGTGTGGAGTCAGGAGTTGCTTTGCTGAAAGTATAATGCTTTCAAATAAAACCAGGATACACCCAAAATCCACTGAGAACAAGCCGGGTGATTTCCTAACACATGACATCAGGCAGATGCTTCCCAACTCCCCTCCTGACTTTGGATACTGCTCACCTGGTCCTCTCATCAGACCCAAGTGATCCGTCAGATCCCAAGGACAGTGACAACCACACTTGCACCTGATGACCCCATCCAGACAGCTCTGCTACCCTCCTCAAGACACCCCCCATACCTTTCTCTGCCTACTCTGCAAGCCTCTGACTTATCTGTGAGTTACAGCGTGGAGGGCAGTCGAGGGTGAGAAAAGGAGAGGGGGTGCTCTGACTTCCTGTTGTTCCTGGGCACCCACCCCTGCTCCTGCCACCTGGTAAGTCCTGATCACTTTGTGAAGGGTGCTGTGCTCCTCACACAATCAAAGGACCATCAGCCTGGATCTAACGAAAGCGGAGGAGGACAAAGTTGGAGGCTTTCCAGAAGGAGGACCAGACAGAGGAGACATGGAGAGCAAGAATGGATTTCTTCCCTCCTGGGTTCTTTGTTCAAATGAAAGTCTTCTCGCCCCCAGGTTCCTTGACTGCCCATATTCGTGCACGCTGTCTGAATCTCCATCCCTCAGGAGCTAAGGCTTCAGGGCTGATGAAGGGTGGGATGCTTCTGCCCCAGGGTAGATCAGCATGAGTTAAGTGCCAGAGCTAGATTCCCGTAGCTGTTGGCTCTCCCTAATCAGGCTGTTTTCTTGCAGTATATCCTCAGGGAGCTCTAGTTCCTGGCCCCTCCACTCCCACAGTGCTCAGTGGAAAGAACATGAGGAAAACACGTATGATGCCGTCAAGGGTCAGTGGGATGGCAACAGCCTCTTGTCCCTTCTGAATGACTGTAAAATCTCCTCCCTTGGCCCCAACTTTCCTCTCCACCAACTCCTCTCAGCACCTGGTCTGCAGCTTCTTATTTCCCCAGAGAAAGAGACAAGGGCAAGGGTTACACTTCTGCTTTTTCTTTTTACAGCGGCTTGTCTTTCTTCTTCTTACTGTATTAAGTCTGACTTGATGAAAATGAGAATCTGCTTTTCCAGGCGGGATGTTTTTTGCCCCACATGGTCTGTAGTGTGGGCAGTGTCGCAGCCCAACGTTCCAAGCTGCCACAATGGCTTGCCCAGAAGGGCTGTGCAAGAATGGAAACTGATGATGGCAATTCTTAGCTGCTTACTTGTTAATGGAGTGAAGCCACAAGGCACAGGCCATGATGAGTGCTCGAGCCCAGTCTATCTCAGCGAGGACTGAATCACATTAACGAATGCCTGGTAATATCCTTTTTAAAAACTGTGGTTCATAGACAGTGCTGAGAGACATATAAGGCACCATCACTTCGGAGGCAGTTTGGTGTTGTCTAGTAAGTCTGGTGGTATACATATTTTGACTGCATAGGTGACTGGTCTGTGAGACATTTCTAAGTGGTACACCAAGGTCACGTGCATGAGTGCTCAGTAAAGTGCTACTGCTCCCCTCCTTCGGGGCCTTGGGCATGCCGTGCAAGTGCTGCACCACTGAACACCAGCTTGCGGTGGTGTCTCTACCAGGAAAAACAAAAACCAGGTCTGGAAATGGCCCAATTGTTCATCAAGGGGAGAACAATGAATGAATTGTGCCAGGTTCACATAAGTGAATACTGCTTAATGGTGGACATGAGTGAGCTCTAGTTGTATCACTATGGATAAACAACAAAATTAATATCTTTCTCTTTAAAGCTATTTTATTATTATTTTTTGTCTATGAGAACTTTGTCTGCGTGCATGTCTGTACACCTAACCTGAATACTTAGTGCCTGGGGGAGGGGGCATGGCAGAAAGCTTAGATTCCCTGAAACTGCAGTCACAGACAGTTGTGAGCATCTGTGTGGGTCCTCTGGAAAAGCAGCCAATTCTCTTAAGCACTGAGCCATCTCTCCAGTCCCAGTAAAACTAACAATAATGACGACAATTGATGCAATAAAGACAAACTGAAGAAGTGAATGAACAGGCCTGCAAGATGGCTCAGTGGGTAAGGCTGTGACCACGAGACTATGAATTCAGTCTCCAGTTCCCACGCGGCAGAAAGAAAGAACCAACTCCTGCGAGTCCCGTCTGACCTCCACATGTGAGCAGTAGAGCGTGTGAATACACAGATAAGTAAAAGTTAACTTTAAAAAAGAAGCTAACGTCTCATAGAAACGGCTGTGTAAATCAGACCATACAGTGGAACCATCAACAGACATTCTCAAACAGAAGCGGAAACTCTCAGGGAGTCCCCACACACACACAAAGAACTATAGGTGACCAAGAACTTCTAAGACGGAAAATTAACCTCACTTGGAGGTGAGCCCCCTAACTGAGCATCCAATACAAAGTAGTCAGTTCTGAAATCATTTACACACAACACAACAACAGTTACACACAAACAACGAAAACAGACTCGACAAGTTTTATTTACATAATTGTGCATATATATATGCACACACATACACACACACACACACACACACATATATGGAAGCCATAATCAAAGAAAAAGAGGCTATAAATTTGAGATGAAGACAGGAAGAAAATGGGAGGGGTTCGAGGGAGGAAACCCAAAATCACCAGGAGGCCCATTTCAATGCAAAAGCACAGAGTCTTTTATTGTAGTTGTTTAACAAGCTAACCCCACTAGCTGGGGTCTTCATCCATTCACCGCATCAGATGGCTGGAGAAAGACCCCGAGAAACTTCGAGGTGGAGATCTTAAAAGGCAGCGTAAGGGGCGTGTCTAGGGGTATGAAACAATCTCAGGATTGGTGTGCTTCCAGGCTTGGACGACCTGCCCTGTGTTGATTGGTCAGCTGGTTGTTATGGCCCATAGGCCCTCCCTGGGCGGTTGCTATGCTCTGCACGTCACTGTTGTGCACTTGTCCGTAAAGCACACCCAGAGCCATAAAGCACAGCCCCACCAGCTAACTTCTGGTTGGTTCCTTGCCACAAGGAAGGCATCTGACCTCCTAGTGACCAGGACAGGAGTGGCAAGGTCATGCAAGCACATGTTAGCCTGTCATGGCTGTTTTAGCAGCCATGACAGGCTACATTTTAATTAAAATATATGTAAAAAAGAGACTAATGTTGTATGGTTCTATTTAAATTAAGTTGGACACAACAAAATATATTAAAATACATAAATGCATGATAAAACCAATGAAGGGAATAAGGAAAATCCAGATGAATGATGCCTGGGGTTGGGAATTGTGGTGAAAGGGCACACAGGGCCTCCAGGCACTGGTAGCTTCCTGTTGCTTTCGTGTGTGTTTAGGGTGGAAGTGGGAGTGTGAATGTGGAGACCAAGAGAACATTAGGCGTTGACCCTCAGGCTCTGTCAACTGTGTTTCTTGAGAAAAGTTCCCTCGATAAGGCATGGAGCTTATCAATTAGGCTTAGCTGGTTGACCAAGTCCCAGAGTTCATTCTGCCTGCCTATTTCCCCAGAGCTAGGATAGCAAGTGTGTGCCACCAGAACTCAGGCCCTCATGCCTCCACAGCAACCATTTTACCAACTGAACTAGTCTCAGTTCCCATTCCTATCTTTTAAGGAGAGCTATGGATATTCATATCTGTTTTATTATTATTATTATTTGAACCTCACTCATGGGTATTAAATATTTAACAGAAACAACACAGATTTGAAATTACTGAGAAAAGACAAGCCAGCATGCCTAACTCCAAATCAGCTCTGTAAGAGACTGAGGTTCGAGAATCAGGACACAGACTGTACGGGAGGTTGGGAGTGAGACCCAGGCCACTCCGGTCAGTCTCGGATGCTTTTTCTTGCCTCTCATAACACTACAACAGTTTTCTGTGTTTCCTGTGTACAGTCCCATTCGTTTTTGGTTTTTTTCATGTGAAGACATTGATTTTTAGGCTAAACAGCAAGTTCAAAGTGATGTTCTTTGTCCACAGAGGAGCCGGGACTCAGGGCAAGCCTGTTTACAGTCTAAACTACCCATCAAAAGGGCTTTCGCATCTGAGACAGATCAGTGATGCAGACAGGGGGCTCTGTCCTAGCACCAGCTTAACCACAGACTTGAGTGTCACTTAGTCTCCCTTACTTCATCTCAGAGAACAGGAGAAGGGATCCAAGGAGAGCCCAGATTTCTGTGGCTCCATCTGAATATTGGTGAGGTATCTAAAAACTAGTTCACACCTGTGGGACACCACTGTAGTTTCTGGGAGGGAGGTCTCTGGCTCTCATTTTTTTTTTCAGACATCTTCTCAAAGAGAAGCTAGAGGGAATCCAAGTCATCAGGAGGCTTGGCGTGGCAGCTGCAGGGGGCTGGCATGGAAGCTTCAGTTCAGTCAATCTGCTGGGACACTTGTCCTGGACTGTAGTTCCTTGCTGGGGCCAATTCATGTAATGTGTGTTGTTGGTACCATGAAGTCTGG